TTTTACACGATAAATATCTATCCGCGAAATATCAATTTCGTCTCGTATCTTGATCGTACAATACTCATGGTTATGAAATTCTTGGACGCATTATATATATATATTTCATGGAAGACTCATAGGAGCCTACAAATGACGGAATTATTGATGTCACATAAAGAAACGTAAATGACTTTGACATATGTTTCTTTCATAATTACAACTAGATTTTCTTAAATAACTCACTCTAGTTTAGGAAACAATGTCGATATTGCGATTAAATCGTGAAAAATGTTATATGGAAAAATGACAAAAAAATTTCGAAGTATTTCTACATTATCCCTATCTATTTTATTTTCTTTTTTTTTTAGTATTTATTGTATGTATATCGTATCAACAGTTGATGAGATCTAAATGAAATTGCTCATAACATTAATGTCCATTAAATAGATATATTTAATAAAATACCGTCTCAACTTCTCATTTATTGGCTTTTACATTCTTATTCATTTGATATGTAAATATGAGCCATTCTATTTTTATTTTTATTCTGTCTTTTTGTCCTATTATTTCGTGATATTTTATTTTAATATTAAATTGCTCTACATTGAACTATCATCGCATACATATGTCACATTCCTGGCTCTATATTTTTATTTAATATATTCATTTCCATATATCATTCCTATATTTTCATTTTTCGTATCTATATTCGGCGATTTTTTTCTTTACTCCACTAAATATTTCAAATCCATTTTCGGATCTTTCATTTTTCTCCTTCCACATTCTTTTATATTGCATTATTAAGTTGCATTGCAAATTCGTTCGATATTAAAAATATATAAAAATAGTACATCTTGAAATATAAAAAAATATAAAAAATTCCATCTTAGCGCTACCGTGATTTATCATCGAGGCACAATTATAGCGACGATCCTCGATCCCATTGACGTTTTTTCTAAAATCCCGTTGATGCGCCCTCGGGATCTTACCTGGCGTATTCGTCGTGGCGATGGCGGCAGTGGTGTAAGGCGGTTGGCCCATCTGTGCATGACCGGCCAAGTGTCGGCCGTATCCGTTTGGCAGGCCCAGGCCATGCTGCTGGGGATGCTGGGAGAGAATACCGTGGAGCAGACGAGTCCCCGTGCTGCTGGTGGTCGTCGCGCTGGTGGATCCCGGCTCAACTTTTACGCTCGCGAGGCCCAGCTGCTCCTTCTCGCCCGTGTCGTGCGGCTGAACTTCCCTGGTATCCACTGTAACGAGACGACAAGATACATCGTTATTTAGACATTAATCTTCCTTGGCTTAATGCTAACACGAATACAAACAAATTAATGTAGATGAGGTGTGAAACGCCAAAGATTGTGTGAAAGTAGATTTGAAGTATTTGGTAAAATAATTTTTTTTATTTTTTTAATTCATATCGAGCAAAATAAATACAGAAAAATTGACAGAATTGATTATTACAGTATGAATACCAGAAGAATAATATTTAAAAAAAGGTATATTTGAAATACGAAGATGTTTCTTAAATTTATGCAATTATGAGTGAATTTATCAGATACAATTTTTTTGTCTTTGCGCTTCCTATTTTTTTCACACGTTTCAGTTTACTCCAGTTATATAAAATATAAGATCGTGTTTCATTTTCTTCAAATGTAAAGGAAATCTCATAAATGATCAAAAGATCAGCTAACGGATTGTTATCTCAGACATTGAAGCACAGAATATTCTTTATTTCCCGTGCCATCAAAACATTTATAAGCGCAGTTACGGACCGATCTCTTTATTAATGAGAAATGACGTTTCGAGATAAATCACTCGATCATGATTCGTATTGCACCGGGCGTTGCTACATCCAGATTAAGTGAATTCAGTTTGTCCATTGGAAGATAAACATATCTCCTCGCCGGTCGATATAATTAAGCGTAGTCATAGGCGGATAAACATTCTCACGAGGAGAGGAACGACAGAAGGAGAAGGGAAAAAAAGCCGCGGCTCGGGAGGCGTTCTCGAGGAACTCGCGCTGGCTGCCGAGAGGAAGTGAAAGCCGGCGTCTCTCCTTGACCCACTGCAACGTTTCTACCTTCCTTTCAGGCGGTGCCGAGCCGCGGCGGCTTCATTAAGCAATTTCTCGCGGCAGCGGGCCCGAAAAATTCGCGTGGAAAATGGCCGAACGGCGAACGACGGGATTCGAGCGAGGCGCGACGCGAGAAGTTCACTTCTCTCGATCGAATGTCTTCGATGTGTCGTTGGCAAAGACGCAAAAATTCTACGCCATTAATCTTCGCTTTCGGAAGATCGATAAAAATTGCGCAACGTTACGGCTCTCTCGTTACGCAATAAAAAATATTAGATATTCGATGCCCACCTCATCAATTTAAATTTATTTTGCTCAACAAATTTATTTATTCCGAGCATCGAATTCTATGCGTATACAAATTGCTTCCACATAAATTCTCATGTAAATTTCAATCAATTATTGAAAATTTTATGAATTTTGTTAATTTTGCAAGCGCAATTCTGCAATTATAATTTTTCATTTTTTTATTATCGTTTGTCGTCATCAACGTTGCTATCCGCTAAAACGAATTCAGTTTTTGCGAAGTAAAAGTTGTTTTGGATACATCCGTCAGAATAGATCTCTGTAATAATAAAGCGAATCAAAGAGATTGGACTCGGAGATCAATAAAATCGTTTAAAAGCCAACGCTCAGCACGCCGCGGCAGCGTAGCAGATTACAGGCCGGTATTTCCATAAATAATTTTCGCCTCCGCTATAGAAATTGCGTATCTCCGCGGCTTCGTAAGAGCCGCAACATCGTAATAATCACGGATGCGTTACTTACCGCGGAAACAAAGAATGTAACATCCGTAAACCTTTCCAATTATCGCTACATACAGCATTCGCAATAGAAAGGTTGACCGTTATCGCGTAATTCTTAAAAAATTATGACCGTCGATTTTATCGCTGAAAAAATATTGCGCGTCGCGTTTAACCAATTACTACAATTTCAGATAAGACGAAAGTTTCAGATAAGACAAAAATTTAATGTTGCATAGTACAGTGCGTTTACATGTACGAAAATCAAGACGCATACGAGCACGACTGCGACGCGAATCGATTATTGACGTCACCGCGGGACATCGATCCGTGAATCGACTCGATAATTGCACGATCGCGCAGATCGAAAAATCATGACTAAATTTAGCGCCGTGTGTACCAGGCGCCAGATTAATTAGGGATTATGTTTTTTTGGTAAATGTAAATGTGCTGTCCTTACCAAATTACATCACGATTCGATCAGAAATCCTCGTACTTTTTCTCAATAAAACATGTCGCGAGGAAGATTAATACTAATACGCAAATCGTATTCTTTTTCAATCGAAGAGTGTAACTCGTAATATTTATTTTTAGAGATCCGCCGCGAACAAGTAGGATGCACGTGTTCCAAACACTTCAAGGCTCCCGGAAGTAAACGATGCTCCGGCATTGTTCAAAACTACTGTCCCGTGCACCTTTGCCGGTACATCCAGGCCCGATGCGCCAGACCCAAGTGTGCCATTTCGCATTTTTATCACGCGCGCAATCCCCCATGAAGATTTAATCGACCTCGGGGACTCAACGATCGTATATCTTCATTATTCGCCGCCGTGTATTTCGGGAAAGCAAAAAAAAGTTAGATGTCGTTGAGCTAAAAAAATATTTACCTATCGTCAAAATTGGTCTTCATTTCTCTTTAACGTTAGTTTTAATCGTAGTAAAGAATTTCTTTTTTAAATTAATTATTTTCATTACGAAATCTTACGTCAAAGAACTACTGCTACTCTTTTTCCTCAATCTTTCAGCATCCCGATGGATCGGCCGAGATAAATCAAAGAGTGCGCGACGCCCGTCGGCACTCTGTGCTCTCGGCACAATCGCGAATGGGAGATAAATCTCCTCGCTCGCCCACCGGAAACTCGCAAGGGTGACGCGACCTTGCTTAGCCTTGACTCGCCCTCGAATGTCGCGAAGGCAGGATGGGTGTCTAGCCGCATCGACCGCGCGCGTTTCGTGCCGTCGGTTCGAGTTTTCACAGCGTTTTCACCTTCTGCGCGGCGCTTCCTGCCCGTTTCTCCCGTGCCAGAAGCCGACTTCCGGCGTATCGACATGTCGGCAAGGTTTCACCGTAATCACCATTACCACGTCCTGGTTTTCATAGTTTCTAAAAGTCCGAGACTCGTTTCGCGCTCGCCCGCGGACTATCATTCGGAGATCCGATCGTTAAATTATATGCACCGCGCAGAAACTTTAATCACCATAACGAGACTAAGCATGAAACCATGATTAAGCGAGAGAAGAAAGTGTTCTTCAAAGAAATCTAAAATTCGCCGATTCAAATACATATAATATGTACATATGCAACATGAATACATATGAATTATTACATGATTTTTTACGATGATCGCTACTCTGTAAAAATCGTAAAAAATTGTTTCACTCGTATTCTTTAAAAAAAAATTAAACGAGATATAAATTATATTTGTAAAAAATAAATAGAATCTAAAGCATCTCCGTTATACAATTTTCGCGCTCGCAAAAGTATCGCGATATTTAATAAAATATCGCAAAAGTCGCGAAAGGTTCCCGCGATCAAGAGAGTCACTCGAAAAATTAACCGATTGCGAATTTCCCTTCTGTCGACAAAATTTTTTAAAGGCCACTTCGAAACAGCTACGAAAAACGGGTTTGCATTTCGTAGTTGCTCGATCGTATACGCGCCCCTCGATTGTGTGCGTAAGCACGTGCATGAGCAGTACGTAAGGTCAGCGTTTGGCCGGGCCACGCAACTTTCTCGCGCACGCACACGCACATACACACACGCACGCATATACGCACACGCACGCATATACGCAGAGGCGCGTGGTCCCGGTGCGGCGTGGCCGGCATTGCGTAACGGTAACGACTCTCTCTTTCTATGTGACATCACGTGCGTCCGACACGCAGCGGAGAAGCGACGGCTCTTTTGCATGTGAGAGAGGCACGCACCGTATGTACGAGCATGTACCTACGCACACAGACGCACACAGACGCACACAGACGCACACAGCAGCACACAGCAGCACACGCCCGCATTGCGCCGTGTCGAAAAAGGAGACACGTTCACATCTCGTGAGACGTTGAAATCCAGATTCGCCCGACTTTCGTCATCGGCGTGTTCACACGAAACGAGGAAAAAAAAAAAGAAAGGAAAAGGAAAGGAAGAAAAAATGTTCGAAGACAGCGGTGTTGTTATGATCGATCCCTGTCGAGCGACACGCGATTATCGATCGAACTTGCACGACGGAAAATGCATGTGTTTTTAGTTCGCGACTCTGATACCTATTTCTAACAATGTAGATTAACTTTCATCTCGGTTCTCAATTCGCTTCTCTTCTTTTTCCAATTCGAAAAATTGCAAAAAGACAAAGGATAGATTCAGACCGTAGATTAAAGTTAATCTACGTTGATAGAAATAGATACGAGTGACATTTTGCGTACGATAAAAAAAAGTAATATGTTCGAATATAAACAATAATGATGAAATATTGTATTGCCAATATTAAAAGGCGTATGTAAAACAACCTGTGAGTATCATTGATATCGATTCTTTCGCCGGAAGCAGCCACTATCATTAACAGAGCGTAACCAGTCGTCGTAGTTTTTTTGCAGTGCGTGCGGTACGCACACAATGACGAGTTAGAAACGCAGCAGGTGCTTATGCACTTCCGTGCGCGCCCGTGGCGAGACATTCCTTTTCGGAGAAAAAAATGGAAAATGGAAAATAAAACGTCGTGAAAACTATAATTCCATTTATCACACACAGAATCTTAAAGAAAGCCCACGTTTTCTTTCGTTAGGTCTTTTTCCTAAGACCTAAAAATCATTGTAATCATGCATAATTCATTAATCATTTTGGCTTTCATATCCCATTCATTTTGCCTCCACGCGTATTTGTTGAATTTAATACTAAAACATTAAAGGTTCTTCTCCCGGGAAATATAATTTTAGTCGTACTAAAATATATTGTAATGAAATATTCAGAATTATAAAATCAGTATAATCGTTGGAAATCGAAAATTATATGTATTTGTTCGTATTCAATGTTATACCACATTACTAATTCTCTATTATTGTAATAGAGAATTAGTAATGTGGTATATCTCTTTTTTATTTCATGTTTTTTTTATCGATCGGATATGGAGATATAATTGACGGAGCAGAACAAATT